TGATTAAAAGTCTTCAGGTCACATCAACAAAAGGATCTCTTAAAATATTTTTTCCCATCCTCAAATTCTTGAAATGACTCTGATAAAGACTGATTGACATTACAGGGAACAGTCAAAACAATAAGCAGACTAGTACCTTCTGAGATTCATAATATGTTATCACTATGGAAGAATTTCATACATAATGTCCTAGATCCATAACGAGGGATAACTCTAGAGCTGCACCGATCAAGTGGCGGGGCTCAGAAACGGCTGGTTTTCAGGTTTCAGTGTGATCGGCCTTGACCAGTGACCGGCTGATCAATCTGAGACTTTTGATTTTGCGCCATTAGATCTAGAGGCACGACAGTTCATGTCATGCACACAGCGGCACAGACCAAAAGCATAGTGTTTGCAGCACTTTGAGACCAGCAAACAGCAGAAGGGCTGTGACGACATACAGGTAGAGTTTAACCAGGTGCTGACGAGGCAGAGTCAGGAGCACTAAGCTCAGAATGTAACCTACATAGTGCAGGTAGAGTGCCAGGTATTTGTACTGGAACATCATGTGCACCTCGAGTGAGGCTGGCACTTGTGTCTATACCAGGCGGGACAGGCCTATCACAGGGGCTGACATATAGACAAATAACCACTCACATTCACTCCTGTGGGTGATTTAGAGTAACCAATCAACCTAAGCTGCATGTCTTTGAAGTGTGGGAGGAAGCCGGAGTACCCGGAGAAAACCCACGTAGACAGAGGGAGAACATGCAAACTCCACACAGAAAGGCCCCTGGTCGGCCGGGGCTCAAACCCGTTCCCTTATTGCTGCAATCGGTGCATCTCTAGATAATTCCTTCCAATGTGCAGAAACAGTCAGACTGTTCATGACAGAGCAACATGATGGCTGTCTCAAAAAAGTGAGCAAGTTGACACCAGATGTTGTGACTTGATATGAAGAACTGAACACGTCATTTCCTCTGTAGCTGGTACCAAATAAGGTGTCTTTTTGTGCATTCCTATAATTTTGAAAGCGAACCCCTGTTTGTGTGTCAGAGGAGATGTGCCTAATATAATTTCAAAATGCAATGATAAATACTTCATAGTGCTGCAACATGTTCTTCAAAAATAACCAGTGGCTTCTTACCTAAGAAGAACAAAGCAGCATCATGTCCTTCAAATGCCACATACAACGTGGTCCACAGGTTCTGCCAGAAATCTCCTGAAGCTCCCCAGAATTTCTGAAGATACCTGTAGGAGGAATTGGTGTCATGGTTTCTTTAGCTCTTCCAGGTAATGGACATTTAAATCCAGCATCTATGTTTTCCCCATAGTCTAGCAAGAGCCATGAAATATTCTAGCAACCAAATACCTCACTCAACAAAACAAACACTCAGAAGACATAAGAAACCACCCAGCAAAACCCCAGTGACACCCTCACAACCCACTTATGCTATCCTATCATATATGTACAATACTTTGCTCTTATCCTCAAGTCCTGTCTCATGACCCAGTCCTACCACATCTTAACTAGCAAACTTGATGATGCCCTAAAAAACCACTTTAAAGACAACCTAGTCAGAAGCCACAGTATGAAATGCAGGGAAACACCATAGTAAATATCCAGTCACACTCCATACAAACCACCAAGCATAAACACAGTTAACCTGTTGAACATATACCTTCACGTCATGTCTAGTCTGGTTCCGTTATATATCTAGTGCCATTATATCACATCAAGTCACAATTAGTCCTGTCATGTCATGTCCAGTCCCAGCCTGAGCAGACCTCATGTCTCGTCATATTTAGTCCTGTCTCATCATTAATGTAATACTCCTCAGGCTCATTTTATTATAAACTGCTGGTTCATTGTATGCTGACACTGTAACATGTAAGCAGATCCTACCATGTCAGTGAGTTGCCGAATGCAGCCAAGAATAAGAATCCAGATCCGATGACAAGCACAGCTTTCTTCACAGAGTCCCACAGTCCTCCAGGGCCCTCCTGCGCAGAGAAAAGCCAACAATTGTGTATAAACCCTCTGTTACTCTGAGGACACTACATCTCCCACAAAAACGTCTTACGGTGGAGAAAAGTCTCTAAAATAACTGAGACTATTATCACCTGTTTAAGTATAAATATAGGGGCCAAGGTATGCAGAAATTATTGAGGGTTAAATCCAGCAGAAACAATGAATGTTCTTTTTCCTCTTAAACGCTAAATGTAAAATGCACAAATGTGTCTAACAAATGCACCGTGCATTTAGTGAAAGCCTAGAAACACAAACTGAATCAGTTCACTCTGCTGGAATTAAATCCAGGAATTGATGTCACATTTACCAGATTTTGTGAAATGTCAGGTTTTACCCAAGCTGCCGTTAACTGTTTTCTAGAAATGGTGTTGCATTATTACCTGTACGCTGGCACTGCTGCTTGTTGTGGCAGTTCTCCTTGTGTCTCCAAACAAAAAAATACATGTCAAATGTCATTTTGCCTGACCAGAATGTAAAAAAAAGAAAGTTTATTATGAACAAAGGGTATAAATCAGTAAAAAATATTCAGAAGATGGAACCAGTGAGTCTCTGTTGTTGTTGCATAAAAAAAACAATGTAAACAATTATTCAAAATCAAAATGAACAAAAATTTATTTTGTCTGTTGAACAGACAATTAATAACTAGTCACTGCAGCTGTTGAGATTTTCTTTTTTAATTATCAAGAAAATCTTTATAAATATCTTACAAATTGTGTTTTAGCAAGGCTACAAATATGTTGCTTTGAAAAAGAAGGAGGTTTAAAGTACCAAAAACAAAAACCAACAGAGCGAAAAATTCTTTTATTTCTTCTGCACTCTATTCAGTTTTAAGGTGACTGTGAAACAAATTTCCCCCCTCTGGCACAATAAAGTTGAACCTGAAGTTTACAACTCATGTAATTTATTATTAACTTAAAATCAGGTTTGAGTGCTTGCTCAAGGGGGATTTGTTGGGTTTTCCCTATGTAATAATATTGATAACAGTAAGGTCTAGACCTTACTTTGTAAAGTGTCCTGAGATGACTTTTGTTGTGATTTGGCGCTATACAAATAAAATTTGATTTGATTTGATTTGACCTTCAATATATTTCTGACATTTTATTAACCAAATTCTGTTTCATCCATTATCCAGACTTCATTACCCTTATAACCCATGTATTAAATTTAATGAAACATTATATGAATAATAGGCTACAGATGGGACTATGCTGGTTTACTGAAAGACAAGAGCAAACACAGACATAACAACTGCAGTGTTTGTGCAGACGGTGAACGATGTTGTGTTTCAGGTAACACTGCACACGAACTTCCCCATTGCTGACTGCTTTATTAGGCTACTACAGTCTTGCGCCCAGCTGCATCTTTAAACTCAGCAAAAATTGACTCTATCGAAATGATAAAAGCCAAATAAACGAGTCACTTACCCCTGAGTCTTGTCTCCATCATCATATTTCCACACAGTTCTTTTTGTTTGTCGCCCCGAGCGCCACCAGATTTTCGCCAGCAGTTTATTTACCACCATGAGTGAGTTGTGACACCCATAGTCAGATTTCATTGATCCCCAGGTGTGAAGTTCACAAGCCCAGCAAAGTAAAATAATACCATTATTTTTAGCTCCACCTTTAACAGCAGCAACACTGACGTGATGAACACAATAATGCATCAATGATATATTTGTATGTAAAATGTGCCATTCTATATAATGAGTAGGCTACTTTTACTTTAGTACTAGTATGCTAATACTTTGGTACTTTTAGTAAAGTAACATTTTAAAAGCAGGACTTGTACTTGTGAAATAGTCTGGTATTGCTACTTTTATTTCATTAAAAAATCTGAATATTGTACTTTTACACTCTTTTCTTATTTGTACTTTTCATACTACTATATACGTGTACTCCTCTACATTTCAGAGGGAAATATTGTACTTTTTACTCCATTACAGTTATCTGAGAGCTTTAGTTACTACTTACTTTAAGATTTTAAAATACTGTATGAAGAGATCATATGGTGGTTTGTCATAGACTATAACAACTGATTAGATTGACTGATTAGCTGAGTGACAGAAAAAGAACACCACCATTTTAATATCATAATTTTTTATGTTTGTATTGTGAAAGTTTCACTTTGGGCTCTGAATTTTAGAAACTAAAGAATCATTTAGATTGATTATTATCAGATTTATATTTTCTTAAGTAATCAGTTATAGTCCAATAGAAAATAATTAAAAATGAGCTCCACATACAGTACAGTAGCAACAGATACCTGTGAAGTGAAAGACTGAAATAATAATTTAGTACTTTTAACAATATCTATCTGTACATACCAAGCTGGAATAATGAGACCTGCATATGATGGTTAATGTATTGCACAGCTCAAGTCTGCCCTCTGGTGTCTCGATGCTGCCACTGGCGTCTGCATGTTCTCCCTGTGCCTGCGTGGGTTCTCTCCGGGTACTCTGGCTTCCTCCCACAGTCTAAAGACATGCAGCTTAGGTTGACTGGTGTCTCTAAATTGCCTGTAGGAGTGTGTGCGTGGTTGTTTGTCTACATGTCAGCCCTGCGATGAACTGGCGACCTGTCCAGAGTGGACCCCACTTTTCGCCCAATGCCGGCTGGGATTGGTGCCAGCACCCCTGCGACCCCGTTCGGGACTAAGCGGTATAGAAAATGAGATGAGATGATATGATGAATTATATAATTTGGATGCTTTGAGTTTCAGGTGTTAACTTCACACACTTTGCCAACCACTGCAGAGCTGCGCTGCTGCTGTCGTGAAATACAAAAAGACACCTTGTCATATTCTTAGTATATCCAGTACATTAATGAACCTGACCTTCATTTCTTTGTGATTATGAAATTTAGTCAAAAAATTAGTGGTTTGTTTACAGTTTACCCAGACTGTTTATCTTGTATATGTTGTTGTTGCTTATTTATATATGCATCTGTTTACTCAGCTACTTGTACTGCATGTCCATATCAGTTATAAGTTTGATTACCTAGCCTACATGTTCACAGACCTGGCCCATTCTGCAGTTGGAAAGTAACTAAGTACATTTACTGTACTCAAGTATTTGTATTTTGAGCATTTTGATTTTGTGCTACTTAATAATTTGACTTCACTACATTGTAGAGGAAAATATTGTACTTTTTACTCCACTATATTTATTTTATAACTTTAGCTACTAGTTACTTTTCAGAACCATATTATGCAAAAATACAGTGTAATCATAAGACTTTATTGATCTCTGGTGGAGAAATCACAAGCTACCCAGCAGTACATCAGATCCGATATTTAAAACTAGCTCCACCTTTTACCAGCTGCAATATTTAATGTAATGAACACAATAAAGCCTCAGTAGTTATAATTAAATCATATGATCTACATAATGTTCAATGTGCCATTCAGCATAATGAATACTTTTACTGTTAGTACTTTGTTAATACTAATAATGTTAATACTTTTTTACCCTTAGCTAAGTAACATTTTGACTACATGACTTTAAGTTGTAATAGAATATTTTTACAGAAAATCAAGATGGCCATCCCCCATCTTCACGATCTTTTGGCTTCACTCTTGCATAATGGCAGGGAGTGGTGACACATTGTCCATCATTACAGTGTATAATCTAAACACAATTAGTCTTTTCATGCTCATACCAGATTGTTGTCCTGATAACTTAATTACTCTGAGCCTAATTAACATACAGTTAAATGGGAACATGTGTGTGTAGGGGGGTCTTTTTACAAGGTGCCCAGAATTTGAGGTGGCACATCATCCTGTGTAACTTTTCACAGCCATTATTTTCTTTCCACGTCCTCCACCTCCTGTGTACTTGGTACAATCACGTCCTCCACCACCACCTCTCTCCACCTCCTGTGTACTTGGTACAATTTGACGGATGTAGCTGCCCTCGTTGCAGCAGAAGAAGGATGACTCTGTTTGCTCCCCCGTGCCCCAGCCCAGCTCCTTGCCCTCCCCTGCTACCTCAGGAAATAAGGTGCGTTTGAACTGAGATCAAAATGGTAAATGGTTTTATACTTGAATAGCGCTTTTACAGCACACTCAAAGCACTTTCACACTCACAAATGCTCACACACTGGTGTTATCACTGGGAGCAACTGGTGGTACAGTGTCTTGCTCAAGGACACTTTGGCATGTTGACTGGACAAGCCAGGAATCAAACTGCTAATCCTCCAGTTAGGAAACGGCCCGCTCTACCTCCTGAGCCACAGCCACCCACGAAGATCAAACCTTCTGGTTTCTTCAGTATTTTTTTTATTATTATTATCATTGTTGTTTATTTGATAAGATGGGTAATACTTTATTAAACCTAGTGAAAAATTGTAGCACTACAGCAGCCACATGAATCACAAAACGAATGGCAAAGGACACATGTAGAAGATAGTCCTGGCACTATAAATATATACTGCTCAACAATGGTTTCTGGTAATTTTGTACATGATTAGTGCAAGATATGACTTTAGAGTTGTTTCTCTCTCTTTCTGTCATATATGGATATAATCAGTGACTTTACAGTAAAAAAAAAAACAGTACAATGACAGTGCTGCCCTTAATTGCAGTAGTGTGGTAATAGTAATATACTCCAAGTATCTGATACTACAACACTTATTCATGTTTTGTGTACTCTGCAGCGCCCCAGTGCTCGTGTAGCCGCTAACATGCTACATCTCAGCCTGTGGAGACGAAAGGCCCTAGCCAACCAGGACAGCGCTGGCATGAAGAAGCTAGCCGACTGGCTGCTGTGCCAGTCTGCTGTGGTTCTACTGAAGGGCTGTAGCGGACCCAGTGGGAACAGAGTGGAGGCACAGGTTCAGAGGAGCGTCCTGTCTAACTTGGACCTGGAGGACCTGCACACTGCTTTGGGCTTCCTCTTGTATGGGCGAGAGCAGCATCAGGCCTGCATACTGTTTTCAGGCCACAAAGATCAAACCTTCAGGTTTCTTCAGTATTAACTCAATTTACATTCTCACAGTTCACGATTAAACTTTTAATGGTTAATGTGAAATTTTACAAAATGTTATAAGATCATATTCATTATATAGATATCATCATAGCCTAGTGCCTCTCTTCTTAAATGGCAACCATAACTGAGTCTATTACTACTAGATCCTGATCTGCAGATCTCGTAATTGTGACAAAGCATTAAACATTAATAATCATCACTTGTGTGAACTGATATAAACTTTGACAAGAAACAGGAAGTAGGCTATATAATGTTGCCATGGATAGAGTGTGTTACAATGTGGGCACCATTTTTAGCCTGGGCTATATTTGTTTACATTTTGGAACACTCAGCTTGCTGAATCAGCAGTTCACTTTGCTACCAAGCCTACTGTTGAATGGGCTGACAGGATTAGGTTAATAGTCTACTGAAGAAATCTTAAAAACCCAATGTTTCTCAAGCAGGTTCTACAGCTTTCCAGCTGTTCAGTACATTTATATAGTGAAGTGTAGGCAGCAAAGTTGAGGCATTTTTTGACTATGTATGCCGAATTAGCTACTAACAGTTCACTTTTGCTATGCATTATTGGATGTACTGACAACTCTCAATGAATTACTTTGATACTAAATAATTTGTTAAAACCTGATTTTCAGGCAAAGTCTGCAGTTTTCCGGCCCCCTGCAATATCTTATAATTACAAGAAAAGATCTTGTAATACCAGATCTTAGTATGTTCACAAATACAAGATAAGATTCTCCAATTTTTTTTTTCCTTTTGGTGAATGCGCTGCCATAGTTTAACCAGGAACAAGGGATGGAATAAAACCTGTTTTTTGTTTGCAGCTGAAAATTGAAACATTTTTTCACTGACATAAACCTCATCTGTTACCTGCTTTGCTCACAGAAGGTGAAATCATGGGAATAACCAGGTAAATAATTGCCAGAGTGGAGGCCAAACTTTTAAAACTGCATGAAACCTGCACATCTGATGAAGTACAAAAACAATATTTCTGTTGGGAAAATTAACAATTAAGGCTGATGATGTTCATAACCTCAAAGTGACCGACAGCTTTGTGGAGTAAAATGATCAAACCTGGCTTGTTTAGATTGATTTCACATTATCTCCACATATCATAGTGATAAAGTCAAACTTGGCCTGAGGTTAGAAGTCACAGGTCATCACTGGCCATCAATTAATTGAGAAAGTGAAGCCTGTTACCCTGTAGATGTGTGTTCCCTTACCTTAGTGGAATACTTTGGGATTTTTCAAGTTGGTGTTAAAACAGTAATATACATGAGAACAGACTTCCTCCGCTGCAGCTCAGAAAGGTAATGTTACTATCCAGTGAACTAAAAGAAGGACAAGCCACCTTATACCACTTATACCAAGCCAAATTAGTGGGACACCTGAAGCCGCATTTGAGCCTCAGACAAACGGTGCTTTTTTTCTTTGTTTGTTTATAGAAGGGGGTTTTGTATTCTGAGCCTCATTTTTTGCAGCATTACATTCTGGGGGAAACATTCATGGTCAGTGTGGAGAGCAGGAGAAGTGACGACAGACCTATTCTCACATATGTAGGCACACATCAATATTGTTTTAACACCAGTTTAAAAAGTCCTGAACTATTCCTTAATATGAACCTAACCTTCACCATGCCCTCCTCCAGTTACCTCTGCCTACTCCCAGTTCTTGGGATCTAAAAGTTTATCCTTGGGTGTGTCAGGGATGCTCTCGGTCAGCGGGGTGAAGCTGGTGAGCAGGATGTGGCGCTCATACTGCTTGGTCAGCCGGAATTTGGTGTCGGTGCCATGGAGCCGATCCAGCACGCCGAAGACCCCGAAACACTGGTTGAACCTGGAACCAGGAAGGATGTGTGAACACAAGAGCGAAAGATAGAGCAAAAATAACATTTATTAAAAATTGGGATCCCTGTTCTCTTTTTAGTCGTTTTCCAGTGTATGGTTAAAGGTAGGATTGGTGAGTCCTTCCAGAAACATTTTCTGTTACATTTCTTGAGTTTCTCTTTTCATCCCAATGGCAATGAACACATTAAATGCACTGACACCATAAAGAAATAAATCCTCCATCTGAGGCAGCAGCAGGGCTGGAAAAAGCCTGACCAATAACTTTCTTTGTCCCAGGTAAAACCATTGAACACCTACCTGCCTCTCAACCTATTTCCTACTTGTGCACACTCTGCCCACGCACTCAATGCACAAGCCAAGAGTCTCCCACAAGGCACTGCAGTTAGATGTCTTAATGCTCTGTTTCATTAGCTAAAGCTAGCAAGCTAGCAGCTTTCGTTTGCAAAGAGAGGCCATTGTAACAGGCCAGGCCTTCCCCTTTAAGACGTATAACCTTACAGCAATGTTGATGTTGTTGGCAGAAGTTACTACCTGCATGCGGCGTGCACAGTATGAGTGTGTGAAGACTGCAGCACGGAACAGACTCCTTTTACATGCAGCCACTGGTGGAGAAAATACCAACAGTAGTCAAATCTAAGTGTATTGATAGGACTGTAATGCAGTTAACTGGGTGTCCAAGGCCACATGTTCATGTTACCCAGATGGAATAAAGCCTGTGTTTTGAACTGCGTTAGCCAATCTCCCTCTTCACTCCTCTCTGCTGGAACAGCCCGGACTTCTAAGGCTAGTTACCAGCTATGAGCCAGGGCTAACCCAGTTTAGCTATGAACCAGAGGTCCCCAACTACAGTTCGGAAGATCTGGGTGGGTAACATCATATTCAATAAAGTTATAACTAAAAATTGGAGTCGGGTGCTGCAAGAAGTAAAACCAGAATTAACACTGGTGCAACTTTTGAACGACAGCGACAACTGAGAGAATAAAATAGGATGAAACGTGAGGCCGTTGTGGTCGTATTTCTGTTGGGACAGGTAATTTAGGTTTTGTTTTGTTTGGGGGGCATTTGTTATTTTACTGAAATATTTAAGTAGTGGTCAGGCAGTGCACGTTGTGTTTTGGAGGGGTGGATTTGGAGAGAAGTCAGAATGAAAGGATGGGATTTCTTCAGTCAGCTACTTTCAAAATTGAGCTTTCTCTTGCTGGTTTTTCCAGGATTACCAACCCTACCTTTAATTAAGCATCATTTTATCACCATGAACCTGGACTGTAGTTTATCCTACAAATGTTGCCATGAAGACTTGCTATTCATAGGAACTAGCGAGCGTGGTGCTGAGCAGCACAGTTCAGAACATTATCTGCTAACTAGGCCGAAAAATACAGTGCTGACCAGTCAAAAAAGTGATTCATTTTTAATATTCAACACTGATAAATTCCTTCATTTAAAAAAAATTAAACTCACTCAAAACATGAATATAAAACAAAACCCACTAACTCCCAGTAAAAGCACTCCTACAAGACTTGGCAGGTGGACTCACTTGAGGTGGTGGAAGTCGTGGGACTCGGGGGAGGGCAGGAAGGGAAGGTGGTAACCACAGTGGGAAATGGTGGTGGTGACCAGAGCCAGGCAAAGCCAAAGAGTGGTGGTAGCCAGGTGGGAGCCCAGGATCACAGGCCCAATCAACACCGGCAGCGTGTTGGCAATCTAACAACAAATGGGAAAAACAAACAGGGTTGATGGCCGAGGAGGACGAGGATCAGGTTTGTTCAGATGGAAAGGTGAATCCTGTTTGATTTATTTGTGACAGCGGCAGCTGGTCTGAGGCTCAGTGACGAGAGGGGAGACCAGCCACTGCAGACTCTCCACAGTCCACACTGACAGTGAAATAAACACTATAATGCTCAAATGCAGTGAGTTCAAGAATGTGACAGAGAGAAAATGAAATGATGGGCAGGAGGGCTCACTCACCACATGTTCCAAAGGGTGGGCGTAGATGGCGACGATTCCAATGGGAGCAGTCCACTCGTGGTGCTGTTTGTGGATATGCTTGTAGAGGGCAGGATGGTGGAAGAGCCTGAGACAAAAGGAGATGTGGTCCAAAATAAAAACTGTCAACATCCACTTAGCCAGTCATACATTTTTAACAATAATAGGACTAAAAGCCTAAATGCCCATAACACCATAAGATGCTTAGCATGTTCTCTGTCTTAGCACATGTTTGTTGACATGCTGAACTAGTCACACCAGAAACCTCTCCTACCTCAGTGATAATCTTTTGGGTATTTCTTGTCTTTAATCTAACCACACACGTTTGGGGGCATGAGATTCTGCACAAACAATCTTGTAGATGAGAAGTTGTTGCTGAGATTTTATATACAGTCCTGGGGCCCGTTTCAAGAAGGAGGTTTAACAAACTCAGAGTTCAAACCTGAACTCTGAGTTGACTTACCCAGAGATGGAAAACTTGGAGTTTTCGGTTTCAGAACAGCTGAAAAGAGTTGGTTTAATCAACTCTGAGTTGTCTGACTCAGTTAGGTGCGTGCAGCGCGACTATAAAAAGCCCTGAACAATGGAGTGAAGACATTACGAGTCACCATGGCAACAGGACCAAGCAAAAATAGGTCTGCGTTTTTTCCCCGACAGAAATGGATGTGCTACTACAAGCATATAGTGACTACGAGTCCATTTTTCGTAAAAAAGCAACACGGCTGCAGCGGCAAAAGAGAGAGAGTTAGCTTGGGGGGAAAAAGCTGCCC